TCTCTCTCTCTCTCTCTCTCTCTCTCTCTCTCTCTCTCTCTCTCTCTCTCTCTCTCTCCTAGTTACTTCCATAATAAATTACATGTAACAACAATACTGCTAATGTGACAATTCCATACAAAGGAAGTATTCAAAACTGTGGAATCTACACTAAATTCTCATTAAACCATTAAAATATAAATGCATTTCAGAATCATTTTATGTCATCAGATCACATGGTATTTATATGCATAAGAATGTACATGAGCATTTTCCACGGAATGAAAACCATTCTTCAGAAAAAAGTCAATAAACCATACAAAACTAATACAAAAAAAAAAAATCACAATTTTCATTTCTTATAAATAACTAAGCTAAACCTAACAGATAAAAATATATAACCTAGAACTAATACAGACAAACTATTCAGTCCTATACTTCTTCGTTCGATTGGGTTTCCTGCACAAGATGAAAGCGATGATGGTGACCACCTGACCCACCAGGTAAGCCACTACTATGAAGACGGCTGGGTAGTAGACATCAGGGAGCGAGGCTTCGGGAAGACCCATGTACCTTAGGGCTTGAGCTGCGGTGACCACGCCACAGGGAGCCTGGAGGAATCAGAATCAGAATCAAATAATTTATTTAGCCAAATACAATACATCAACAAAAATACAACATATTACACTAGTGGTATGGCTGAGACCTCCAGGAGTGAAACCCCCTTAGGAAGGCCCCTGGAACTATTGATCATTAAAAACTAGTAAGAGAAATGAGGACATAATGTAATTAAATAAGTGAACTAATCATACTAATACTGAATGACATTATACATAATGATATTAAAGGAAACAGGAGGAGGAGGAGGAGGAGGAGGTGTAAATAAATGAGAGGGGAAGCTGAGGGTATGTCATTGGCTTTGAGACTGGTGTTGAAATAAGACATATCTGTGATTTGATTTTAATTTGATATTAGGTTGAATCAGATGATTTTCACAACCTACTGGACACACAATCTAAATAATATATGAAGCAATAGAATAAACATACTAGTCTCGTGTCTAAGTAGCCATTTCAAACTGACAAGTCCTAAATCATATTTTCCAAACAAAAACAAATCCAACCAACAGACACTTACCTTCCTCTGGATGACGGAGAGAGAGTCCTGAAGAACAGGATTCCGGTCGCACAGGAACTCGCTCTTGCTGTCGAACTCGTACCTGTTGACCTCGTGCAGTATCCACCTGACAGGAGACCACCACAACGTCGGCCACGTCCAGACTGACATATCCTATTGTGGGAAGGAAGGATTTCATTGCGATTTTCATTTGCTCAAGGTTATAAAATCTGTTCTAATCAATGTTATTGCTGATTTGATCATATCTTACAACATCCATGAACAACCTATTTTTAGTGGTCTTATTGTATTTCTTAAATCACTTTTTCTGTGAACAATGATCAGAATCACTTCTATTATTATCTTCAGTGATACTGAATAAAATAAAATAAAAACTTTAGATAAAAAATCTCCCCTTATACAAGCATCACCATAAAAACCCAAAAGACAAAGGACCAAATCCAAAATTAGATAGAAATCAGATAGACCTTAAAAAGAACATCAAAACAAAACTCAGCAATCAATCCAAGAAGAGAAAAAAAAATCTCCTTACCAGGGGATGTACAGTGAAGCCTGATCCTATGGTGGCCACTGTAAGTACGATGCCCGTGGACATTGCAGCCATGTGGCGGGTGCTGAAGAGGCAGGCTGAGGCGATGGCTATAGACCGAGCAGCAAAGAGGTACAAGAGCATATACCCAATGTAGATGTAGAACTTCTCAGCCGAGGGGAAGCCAGCAAGAGTGTAAGCTGGGAGAATGTATGCCAAAAATACACCTCCAGCTGCTAAGAAACTGTAACAGATCTGAAAGAAAGGAGGTGACCAGTTACATTACATGGTGTCAATGGGTAAGTGAATGAAACACTTCTGTGTGTAGAAGCGTGGATCTCTCAGTACAGTCTCATAATCACAGATTTTTCTCATTGTTCTAAATGTAGTATAATTTCAATGAAACAAATTTCCTTCTCTGGTTTCCTTAGCATAAATTCCTCTAAAGACTTAACAATATGAACTGCCATTCCTAAATGAAACCAGCGTTAATTCTCACTCAAATTATATTTACAGGAAAGCTGAAACCACAGGAATCCACAGAAATCAAGAATGTTAACATCTCTTTTGTCTAACTATAATTACAAGAAAAATACTATAACTCTTCACTGATCCACATGATATAATCTTTGGATGTATTTACATTCATATTCATACCATGAGGCAAAAAAAAAACTATGGTCTCTAAGGATAAACTAACAATTCATACAGAAGGAAATGATGTTCAACTCACTTTACTTATAACAATTCATACAAAGGAAATTAAGTTCTTTTTAGCTATAACAATTCATTTCAAAAGGAAAATGAAGTTCTTTTTAGCTATAACAATTCATACAAAAGGTAAAATGATGTTCA